ATCAAAATTAATAATATACATTGGTAAATAATAATAATGTTAATAATACAAAAAATAATTAAATTACAATAATATTAAAATAATAATACAATTATAAATCGATTCCCCGAAATGTATAACAAATTTTTTTTAAGTATTCTATTTTATTTAAGTGTTTTCCTCTGTACTCATTCCACGCTTCATAAGAAAATTCTATTTTTTCTTTTTCCTCTTTACGTCGTGGTTTTATTCTACCCTTCTTGATTTCATTTATTTTTAGATATGATTCTACTTGTATTAATTTTAAATTTTCAATTACACTAGTTAATGGTGGATGGGGTGAATAAAATTGGGAGTTAAAATGCTTGTGAAATGATTCAGCGCAATTTGTAGTGCGAGCTGCGTCTGTTGGAGGTTCAGCCCAAATTGATGGTGGAAATGGACATCCTTCAATGATATAGTTATTAAACACATAATCAGAAAATTCGGATAAATTTGTCAAGTTGAAATCTGGAGTTAAGTTTTGTAAATCAAAATAAGCGTCTTCCACTTCATTTGACGGTAAAAATGGTTACCCAAAAAATAATGTTAACCATTTAGCGATATCACATGACTGATTCTTGTACAATTTTTTAAGATCTGACAAAGAATTTATTTTTCGATACCGAGATTGACCTAAATGAAATCTACAGCCTTTTATTTTGCTGTATGGAAATACATTTAGAAATGCTTTATGTGCTGCGATTTCAAAATCTAAATGGATTGTTGATGGTGTAAAATTTTTTTGTATTTTATTTGTACATAAATGGCAAATAAAGTTAACATTCAAATGATTTTGATGGCAAAAATGCGATAACAAGTGGTATATAATATCCATTTACATATAAATGAATACCATACATTTGATAAAAATGTGATGGTTTATGAGTAAAAGTACCATCACCAAAAATATCAGAATTGTTGAAATCGCATAAAAACATTTTGCATGTAATCAAAATAATATTATTTTCGTTATCAACATATGAAAAATCTTTGTTTTTGTTTGTTAAAATTACTAAATTAGGAACTGGAGGTAATATTTTTCGACATTCTCGGTATATAGACTTTCAGATATTATGAACATCCGAATATCTACTTAGCAGTGCTGCACGTGGAAAGMTCTGTACGTATTATTTATTAGGTCGAAAAGTTTAATCTTCACACGATTTTCTTTTACACCTACCTTGAACGTCCAGTAAGTTTAAACTTCCTCCAGTTTCCGGATCATGGATATRACTGTCTTCAATTTCGGTTAACATAGTTTTTGAACTATTGGTTTTGACATACGCATTACAGGTTTTTTTTACACAACGCCAACTTATATCTCCAGAAACAAGGGTTCTACTCACGTGATATTTAAAATAACGAAAAACTAAACAAAGTTTTTGTTTACTTGAAACAGTTATATAAAATTCCATTTTAATATTTTATTATAGTAGTACTCACTATTCATGTACTGATGCAACTGACACATAAAATACAACTGATAAATGCATTTTTATATAATATAATCTTTATCGATTGGGATTTTACAATTTCGATTAGCACAACTAAGGACAAAATATTATTATCTTTATCGATTTGGATATTGGTTTCGATTAACTTTGGAAACGATCAAATACTATTTTAGATTTTATAGTTACACACCAATATACTCAATAAATGGCAACGTTGCACGATTTTCAGCTGATCTGAATCGGGCGCATGTGGGCTATGATTTGGGGCGTAAATGGGCCACGATAAATGGGTTCGGGCGCAAATGGGTTGCGCCGATATTATAACATATACATATTTATCGTTTCTTTAATTTCGAATAAGTATACAGAAAATATCATATAATAAACGCTATTTGATTGAACATAAATTAAGGTTACTATTTGAGTTATAGGAAATAATATTTCATGTATACAATCTGTTTAAAGGCCAATCTTAAGATATTTTTGGCAATCTTGAATAATTATTTGGTTTTTATTTTACCTCTTAAGGGTAATTCTAAGAATGGTTCCTGTTCATCACTTGAGAGATACCAAGTAGTACCAGGTTCACTTATAGTCGACATTATTCTATTATTAGTAGATTGTAATATTATAAAAACTCTAGTGAAATATATAACTTCGAAATGTGTTAAAAATTAAGTTTTTTTTTACAGAATTATTTTGGCTTACAGTTTACTAGGCAACACGATAATAAGTAAATGAAAGTACTGTATACTAATAATATTTCGACACCACTTAACAAAGTAAAACATTGAATGATTGTTTACCATAATTACGTTTGATAAAAATATAACACACATTTTACATATTTTTTATTTAATGTAAGCCAATTTAATTTACACTAAATTAATATTTAATGGTGGCTTTTTTTAAAATGATGTATTTATTTAACTGCTTGCTAACGGAATATATTTTTACTAGTATATACTTATAATATAAGTATAATAATATAATATAAGTAGGTACTTATTTACATATAATAAGAGTATTTAACTATGCTTTATTAGTTTTCATGTTTTATATTAATGAGTAATGGCCGAGTAAATTGAAAATAACTTTTAAATTGTTTAATTTTCGTATAAATATCACGCTTATATAATGTTTGTGCTTATATTAAAATAAAACTATATATAGAGTTCGGGCGAATGTAAGAAAAAAGCAACAGAAAAAAACTCCAATTAGTATATTTAAAAAAATTAATTATGCTAAGGTTCCATTATATCATTAGTTCTATAATAATAGCAATATTATTTTATAATGGGTATTTGATGAATGTATATGTATTGAACAATAAATATTGTATTTACAATTTTCCCAGTTAGACTACTAATGCCATTTTTTTTCATAGTCTTATCACTAGACTCGGGTGAGGACTACCTTTGTTCTGTTCTTGCCCCCCCCCCAAGTCACCATCTTTCATTATCTGACTATGCTTTATACATTTTACACATTTTCTTTAAAATAAAAATGCAACATTGTATAAAAAATTAAATAATGTACAACACAAAGTTGTTATCAACAAAACAGGATCTTAATTATTTTAATAATATTACACGTCTGTGCAATGCACCTGAAACGATCTTAAACCTATTAGCTATCGTTTAAAATTGCATTTATTTACTTTTTATTTACTCTCTTAAAAAATATACAGAAATGGAATCATAGGCGCCCCCAGAAATTTTTCTAGGAGGGGGAAATGTAAGGATTTGAGAATAAATATTATAATTTTACTAGCTGTGTTTTAAAATAATAACCTTTTTTATTATACTCATATACAATATATTATATTTTATTATATTACAACTTATTTTATACTTTAAATTTGTTGTATAGTATATAGTAATTTATCTTAAAATATTCAATTAAAAAAAATATTTTGAAAAAGCCAGGGGGGAAAATGCCCCAGCTTGCCCCCCTGCGGGCGCCTATGAATGGAATATTATTGTTTTTCTCCTGAACACTTGTACCTACACAATTAGTACACATATATATTAATTAGAAACTATTGAAAACTATTGCTATTATCATAGAAATTATAATAATAATATAATTGACAGCACTTAAAATAATTAATTTTTATAAATAAATAAATTTGATTTATTTCCGTGGATTTTTCCCCTACATTCAGTTCGGACATAATGTATGACATATTGTTAGAATATATTTATCCACAAATATAATCCATGTAATCATCAACACCAGTTACCAAAACTGTGAGTAAA